CCCAACAAAGTTAAGTCAGGTCCTCTGGACGGTTCATTTTTGTTGAAACGTTTCATCTTTCATCCAAAAGACTTCATCAGTCTGAGGAGCCACAACAAACTCAGTCTTATAAGTAGCACATTCACATAGTGGGCCAACCAGTTTGATGGTGATAAGAAACAATTAGAGGACCTGACTTAACTTTGTTAGATTTTTTTACCTGGATTGTTGAGCATGAACTTTGATGTTTTGAACCATGGCTGCTTCAGACAAGTCGGCGGGGGAGAGGGCAGATTCCAGAAACCATTACCATGATACTGGTTGGCCCGCTATGTGAGTGTGCTGACTGAGTTTGCTGTGGCTCCTTGGACTGATGAAGTCCTTTGGATAAAAGATGAAACGTTTCAAAAAAAAAAAAAAAAATTGTCCAGAGGACCTGACTTAACTTTGTTGGATTATGACATATTGCATTGCATCATTAGTCATTTCATAAAAACTAAACCAAAGGTGACATGGTGGTGCAGTTGGTAGGATCTTAGTAGGAGTTGGTAGAAGGTTGCAGGATCAAATCTCAGCCTGGGACTTTTCTGGGTTGAGTTTGCGTGTTCTTTCTGTACATGCATGGGTTTTCACAAGTCTGATTTCTTTCCACAGACCAAAAACATGCATGTTAGGCTGATTGGTAACTCTAAATTGTCCCTAGGTGTGAGAGAGAAAGTGAATGGTTGTTTGTCTCATTTGTCTTTATTTGTGGACTTGTGACCTGTCCAGTGTGTAACACCTCCACCTCTTACACATGTGACTGGGTGCCAGCGACCACCAGGACCTGGAAAAGAACAAGCAGGTCAAGACAATTCTGTGGATGGATCACCCAGAACAACAGAAGCAGCATGAAAACTGAGGTCCATCATCATTTTATGGAAAAAAAAATTAGTACTTCATCACAGAGTGAAAACGTTCAACATTCAAGATAGTTGCCATTTTCCTCTTTTAAAACTTTCCATCAGGTTTAACTCAGAGTGTTCCATGTGCAAGAAAACAGCAGCACTCTCACGTCACTGGAATCTTGAACATGCTGCAAAAATTTGCAAATTTCACTAAGAGTTAATGTAAATACATCCTTCAGTGTGAATCCAAGGGAAAATTTGAGTACTTTCTTATAATTTTATAATTTTGTGTCCCCAACTAGTCAGCAACAGTCACAGCCCAGTAACCTTTATTTGTTGCTGTTGAGAGTTGTTCTTCAAGCAATTTTACAAACCGGATTCCAAAAAGGTTGGGACACTAAACAAATCGTGAATAAAAACTGAATGCAATGATGTGGAAATGGCAAATGTCAAAATTTTATTCGTAATATAACATAGATGACAGATCAAAAGTTTAATCTGAGTAAATGTAACATTTTAAAGGAAAAATATGTTGATTCAAAATTTCACAGTATCAACAAATCCCAAAAAAGTTGGGACAAGTAGCAAAGAATGACTGGAAAAAGGAAATTGAGCATATAACGAACAGCTGGAAGATCAATTAACACTAATTAGGTCAATTGACAACATTGGGTATAAAAAGAGCTTCTCAGAGTGTCAGTGTCTCTCAGAAGCCAAGATGGTAAGAGGATCACCAATTCCACCATTGTTGCGCAGAAACATAGTGCAGCAATACCAGAATGGAGTTACCCAGCGTAAAATAGCAAATACTTTTAAGTTATCATCATCAACCGTGCACAACATCATCAAAAGATTCAGAGAATCTGGAACAATCACTGTGCGTAAGGGTCAAGGCCGTAAAACTCTACTGGATGCTCGTGATCTTCGGGCCCTTAAACGTCACTGCACCTCAAACAGGAATGCCACTGTCAAGGAAATAACAGAATGGGCTCAGGAATACTTCCAGAAAGCATTGTCAGTGAACACAATCCACCGTGCCATCTGCCGTTGCCAGCTGAAACTCTACAGTGCAAAGAGGAAGCCATTTCTAAGCAAGCTCCACAAGCTCAGACGTTTGCACTGGGCCAGGGGTCATTTAAAATGGAGTGTGGCAAAATGGAAGACTGTTCTGTGGTCAGATGAGTCATGGTTTGAAGTTCTTTATGGAACACTGGGACGCCATGTCATCTGGACCAGAGAGGACAAGGATAGCCCAAGTTGTTCTCAACACTCCGTTCAGAAGCCTGCATCACTGATGGTATGGGGTTGCATGAGCGCTTGTGGCATGGGCAGCTTGCATGTCTGGAAAGGCACCATTAATGCAGAGAACTATGTTCAGGTTCTAGAACAACATATGCTCCCATCTAGACGTCATCTCTTTCAGGGAAGACCCTGCATTTTTCAACACGATAATGCCAGACCACATTCTGCAGCAATCACAACATCATGGCTACGTAGGAGAAGGATCCGGGTACTGAAATGGCCAGCCTGCAGTCCAGATCTTTCACCTATAGAGAACATTTGGCGCATCATAAAGAGGAAGGTGTGACAAAGAAGGCCCAAGACGATTGAACAGTTAGAGGCCTGTATTAGACATGAATGGGAGAGCATTCCTATTTCTAAACTTGAGAAACTGGTCTCCTCTGTTCCCAGACGTCTGTTGATTGTTGTAAGAAGAAGGGGGGATGCCACACAGTGGTAAAAATGGACTTGTCCCAACTTTTTTGGGTTTTGTTGACGCCATGAAATTTGGAAACAACAGATTTTTCCCTTAAAATGATACATTCTCTCAGTTTAAACTTTTGATCTGTGATTTGTTTTCTATTCTGAATAAAATATTAGATGTTGGCACCTCCACATCATTGCATTCAGTTTTTATTCACAATTTGTTTAGTGTCCCAACTTTTTTGGAATCCGGTTTGTAGTATTTTTATTGACTAAATGACCCTTCCAGTCAGTTTAATGGTATCCACTGAGTACAGAAAAAACAACTGCTACAAGTGTGTATGTGCAAAGAAACACAAAGGTGCAGGTTGATGAAACAAACTGCTGATAAACAGATCTCTGAAATTATCCACGTTTCTTTGACAACAGTAGACGATTATTTTGATTCATACTCCAATACAGGGTCAAGAAGTTGCACATATGTGGGTGCACATTTACTGATCTCCATGCTCCTGGCTGCTGTGAAGAGAAAGAAAAGGCGAGTGAATGGCAGAGAACGAAACAGAGGCACATGTGTTTACACTGGCAGAGCGAGCAGCCAGCAAGCTCCATGGGAATGGCGAGTCCACATTTAGTGTGGAGAAAGCTCCACTGTGACTGACGGAGCCTGCAAGGCTTTGAGGATCAGTATCAATCAGCAGCAGTGCTTCTGATTGGCTTTTACTGTCTGGGTTGGCCACACCAAACAAAAACAAAAAGCAGGAAAATATGTATCATAAGATGGGAAACTATCCTCTAAAGGTGAAGGGGTGCATGCAGCAGGGCAGAGTTTGATGGGTTGTCTGCTGACTGCATGCAATTCCTGCACTAATGAATGGTCTGGAATGCCAAGGACATCCCAGCAGAGTCGTTTGTGTGACTGTCTCATTTGGCAATGCCCATAATTTCATCCCCAGAGAGGAAAATTCATCTACAAATCTTTGCGGTGCGCTCCCTCCTCCATGTTGTCGATATGTTTCTGCCATGTGTTCCAAGCCCCGTCTCTCCATCTAATTGTTTTCAAAGGGAAAATAACAACCGGAGGGTGGGCTTCGGTGGGTTCGCAGAAGACCACAAATTCTTAAATGTTGGGCATAAATTTTAAAAGCGAGGAGGTTTATCCACAAAACCAAGAATTAGTATCCATTTCACAGTACCATCTGTCTTCTGGGAAGAGAACGGATTTCTAGTACTGACATTTGGACGTTCATAAACAGAGCCCGAGTCCATTGATTCACATAATTGCATTAAGTGGCTTTTGTCCTTTTCACAGCAGCTTTATGGTTATAGATTGACTCTCAGAGTTGAATGTCAAACAGGAAATGGTTCAGCAGGGAAGGAAAAAAAGATTTAAGATGGCCAGAGGCTAAATTAAAGTGTGACTAGACTGATGGAGAAAGTGGAAAAAACAAGATTTGCCTCATCAATTATCAGCTAAAGGGACAAAAAGGCACATGCACAGCTCGTGCACATAACTATGCTCATCACACAACTGCCCTCGGTGTACAACAGAAATTCTCAACTTTGTTTAGATGCAAAAAATATGTAAATATCATCTCTGCTCTGATATTCTCAGGCCAAGAACCAAATGTTCTGCAGAAACTACAAGTGTTCCAGCATTAAAAACATCTTTATACTGTAGGACATCTGAACACCAACTTTGATGCATAGTAACAAGTTAGTTCTGAACCTCATGTTCACCATCTAGTGGAGGAAGACAATAGCGCCCCCTGATGGACATTTTAAATATACAGACGTCGAGATGTTCCCAAAAGCTTTCATTACTGCTCCCCTTTCATAGTGGTGGACAATAATGTATTTGCCTATCTATGTTCGCTTGTCTGTTAGCAAAATATCTAATGAATCACTGGACAGACAAAGAGATCAATAATTACAACTCCCATTACTTTTTTCCAGATATTGAACTAAAATTCAGTGTGGTAGTAGCTGAGAGTCAACTCCAACACATACACTGAGCAGCAACAGATAACTCAAGATGTTAGTGTTGCAAAATCACTCCAAGCAATTAAACTTTAAATGGAGGAATTTGGTGACACTACGTGCTGGAAAAAAAAAAAGTAAATATGTTTAGTAGTAGAAGCACTAAAAGGATTTTTAAATGTAAAAACAAAAAACCACATCAACACAAACCCTGTACATTTTAAAATTCTTTATTATTTTATGTACATTTTATATTTCTGTATGAATTTGTCTTTATTTTTCACATTTTCTTACCAAAACAACTATTCAACTAAAGTGAAATGTAAAAAAAATTGGTGAATTTAAAGGAATGCTTTAGGGGGAGATCCACCCAAAAGCAACAGTCTCTTCTATCGCACTGCAGCTTTACCAACAGTGCACAGAAAACCTAACGCTGCTGCTTCTGTCCAGAAAGCGTGTTCATATGTCTGAAATTTTACAACCAGCATATATACTGCACATAACAGATTAAATATACAGGATTAGAGCAGTGTCAGTCCACTGTAACACCTTCAGGCAGCTCCACCACTACCGGAGCGCAGTCGTCTAAATCTGCGTCAAAATCCCAGCAGAACTTCTTGGTCAGGTGTGTTTTGAACTTCTCTGCTTTTCTACGCAGAGTGCCGTCCATACCAGGTCCGGTGGCAAACTGGAAAAAGTCCTGCAACAAAGTTACATCAAACAATGTTGAGGTTTGAAACGTAAACATGGATGTTCTTTGTAGTAATGTTGGGATTCCCAACACATTGTACGAGTTTTAGGTGGAATAAAAACAATTTGTTGGACCCTCATTTTGATACTTGTAGATTGGTCTCTGTGTTGTAGTTGCTAAATATCATCCCAAAGCAAGAACTTTGCAAGTATTTTTTTTTGTTTTTATAAAAAATAAAAATAGTAACAAAACAATGGCAACCTATTGGTCTAAGAAAGCTATGTTGTCTTAGGGTTGTCTTATTCAACTGGCGGCCTGTGGGCCACTTGCAGCCCACGAGTGACTTCAGTCGGGCCCACCAATGAGTTCATTAAAAAATAAATTTGGGGGTTCTGGGTTTAGGATCGGTCATTTATGATTCAATGCAATAAAACAAACACGTTTAAAAGGTGATCATTGTAATACTTGGTTTATTTACATAACTTTAATTGCTGGATGTCTGGACCCTGAGCTGCTGGCTTTCAGAAACTGTGACCCCCCATGAGCAGTTCTGTTGAACAGCTGTCTTAGGGTGTGAAATTGAGTATTCCTGAGAGCGCTTGGAAATCAGAACAATCCCGATTTTTTTTTTCTTCACAAAATAAATTAAGCTTTAAAATATAAACATTATTGTTAATTTCATTTCCCACAGATTTATAGATTATAAGCAAAATGCTGCAGCGCTAGATGTGTGACGATTATTTGAATAGTCTTGTATAAATCTCTGAAAAATAACTTTCTGACTTGTGAAAAAGAATTCTTGAAATACCAAAAAATAGTAATTAAGGCTCTTTTTGACAGATAATTTTGGGATAAATATTACCGTATATGTCAATAATTTACTAACCTTACACTAAACTGGTGTCCCAGTCATTTAATTGCAGATAAAATAACTTCTATGCTGGATCAAATGTCATAATTAACATTTTCCAATAATATAATCAGCTACGACTGCGCTTTGACTTTTACATGAAACAATCAGCGTGTGTGCACGGCTATGAAGCATCAAATCTTTTTCTTCATTTGACTGTAATTTGAATGTTTCCCAAATATGTGTGCATTCACCTGCAGCGTGCTGGTGAGGAAGTTGTTCTGTGACACGATGTCAACAAAGAAGTCCGGGGGTACTTCTCCGAGCTGGTGGTAGAGCACAGTGATGAGCCCCAGGTAGAGCTCTTTTCGCTTCCTCATGGCCTCCTCTGAGCGGCACAAAAGAGCCAGGAGGCACTTCCAGTGCTCGAAGCCCTCGTACACGTTTCCAACCAAGAAACACACAAATGCAAACTGAAGCTCACCTGGGGTAGATTAAAAATATATTATTACTTTTTTCCCCAAAAACGGTAACTTTCTATTATGCACTGATGTGAGTAACACATACCAAGCAAGTCGAGAGGTTGCTTTTCATACTTTTTCTCCAGCACTGTCTCCAGGGCATAACTCAAGTCCATGCTGCACTTAGTGATCTCAGCCGGACTAGCTCCAGGAGGGTAGGTCTTCTTGGGAATCACTGAGAAGCGCAGCTCCGTCCCCTCCCTCTGCTTCATCTTAGGAAGCCTGTCCAGTCCTTCTCTCATGCTCTGACAGGCTGTGTCGTTCCTCGGCTGCTCTGCTCTGTCTTTGGTGTGTCTGAACTGCAGCTCAGGAATGACGTCACTGAAGGCACACACTCGACCTGAAAGAGGCTGCAAGTTGGTGGCGAGCTCCTCGTTGATGTGATCAGTGAGCGACACCCACTTCCTCATCACCTCGTAGGGATAAGGGCCCAGAAAGGGATCCAGCTCTTGCAAAGTCCCCCGGATCCGATTTACCTCCTCCTCATTCTTGGAGTCTGAGAAATCCAGATCTTCTTCTTTGCGATCCCACTTGGCTAGAAGGATCTCTCTGGGTTTGAGAGTGAGGAAAAGGCCTGTTTTGGGGCCAATTTCCCCCCCACAGCTTGGTGAATTTACAGAGCAGTAGTGGAGGAAGTGCAGGCCTGGGGGGATCATCTTAACACCACGAAAGCGAGGACCAACCAGCCAACTCTTGCAGTCAATTCCAAGCTCTGTGCCCTGAGGAACATCCAGCAGCACCAGGATAGCTCCCTCCTCAAACAGCCTCCGAGCAACTTCCGGATCCATGTTGACACTGTTGTTGTTGCTGCTGCTGGCCATCTTCTCCTCAAACGCTACTTTCTACCCCGGGAAATAAAGACTTCTCTCAGCTGTTCAGCGAAGTGTTCATGTTTAGATCATTCAGAAATATTTGTTCCAAATAATGGTAAAACCAGACCTGAACGACGCAGCTAAAGCTATTGTTGTTCTAAAAAATAAGCGCGTTTCCCGTCGGCAAAAACATACGGTATTAATAATAATACAGTTTAAATAAAGTAAAGCTAGCATTAAACGTACATTATTAACAAAAGCAGTAACGATATTGGTGATATTTAGGTTAGCTGACGTTTAAAATCGTCGGAGGTGACTCACTTGTTGGAACACCGCGTAGCAAAGTTTAAGCTCCGCACGGAAACTCAGCCGCGTTAAAAATGTTCCGACCTCAGCGTTACTTATTGTACTGCGCATGCGCGGGGCATGTCCGCCGCTAAAACGTTAAACCACAGTAGTAAAAAAAAATCAACAACATTTAAAATACAATTACAGTAACACACAACTAAAAATAAATAGATTGTTTCCTTGCACAACAAACAGAACACTATACAATACAAAATACAACCCATAATAAATATCCATTATGAATGTTAATTAATAATATAATAATAATAATCATTTTATTTAAAAAGCGCCTTTCATGACACCCAAGGACACTTTACAGTGAGAACAAAGATCAACAGGGATAAATTACATAAAGAATATAAAATACATAAAGAATATAAAATACATACAGAATATAAAATGCATAAAGAATATAAAATACATAAAGAATATAAAATACATAGAGCAAAGTTAAGGAAAAGCGAGTCTAAAGAGATGTGTTTTCAGAGCAGACTTGAATATAGAAAGAGAGGTGGTGTTTCGTAAGTCAGGGGGTAGAGAGTTCCAGAGATGAGGAGCAGAGCAGGTGAAGGCCCTGCTCCCCGTGGTGGAGAGGCAGGCAGAGAGTACATGGAGGTGTAGTGAAGAGGAGGATCTGAGAGAGCGAGAGGGGATGGAGATGTGTAAGAGGTCAGACAGGTACAGAGGGGCAAGGTTGTGGATAGCTTTGAAAGTGAGAAGAAGATTTTTGAAGACGATGTGTGATTTAACCGGGAGCCAGTGGAGCTGCTGCAGGACAGGAGTGATGTGGTTATAGGAGGAGGTTTGAGTGATGACACGGGCAGCTGAGTTCTGGACCAACTGCAGCTTCTGGAGAGATTTGTTGGGGAGGCCATAAAGAAGGGAGTTGCAGTAGTCAATCTGAGAAGTCACAAGACTGTGAACAAGGATGGCTGTGGAGCGGGGTGTGAGAGAAGGGCGGAGACAGTTAATATTTCGGAGATGGAAATAGGCAGACCGAGTGATATTGTTGATGTGTGAAGTGAAGGAGAGAGTGGTGTCGAGGATGACACCAAGACTCTTGACCTGAGGCGAGGGGGGATAGCAGGGAGTTGTTAAGGGGGATGAGAAGATTTTCTGATTTTGAAAGAGAGTTTTTGGTACCGACAAGAATGATTTCTGTTTTGTTACTGTTTAGTTGTAGGAAGTTGTTAGAAAACCAGTGATTTAGCTCATTGAGACAGTCGGTGAGGATGGAGGGTAGGTGAGTGGAGTTTGGTTTTGTTGACAAGTAGAGCTGTGTGTCATCAGCATAATAGTGAAAATGGACACCAAATTTACGGAAGATGTGACCTAGAGGAAGGAGGTAAATGATGAAGAGGAGGGGTCAGAGGACAGAGCCTTGGGGGACACCCGTGGAGATGGGGGATGATTGGGAACGAAAGGATTTGAGCTGAATAAATTGAGTGCGGTCAAAGAGATATGATTTGAACCAGTCTAACGGAGAACCTGAGATGCCAATGGAGGTTAGTCTGTTGAGGAGGATAGAATGACAGATTGTGTCGAAGGCAGAACTTAGATCCAGTAAAATGAGGATAGACAGAAGAGCAGAGTCAGCAGCAAGAAGAAGGTCATTGGTTATTTTTATTAGAGTTGTTTTGGTGCTATGGTGGGGGCAAAAACCAGATTGAAACTCTTCATAAATGTTATTGTTGGATAGGTGAGAGTGAAGTTGACTAGCAACGGCTTTTTCAAGAACTTTGGAAATAAAGGGCAAATTAGAGATTGGACGAAGATTACTGAAGTTGGTAAAGTCAAGACCTGGTTTCTTGATGATGGGGGTGATGGCCGCAGATTTGAAAGCTGTGGGAACAATGCCAGAGGTTAGGGAGGAGTGGATGATGTTAGTGATGATGGGGAGCAGAGACGGGAGACAGGATTTAACAAGAACTGTGGGAAATGGATCGAGCTGACAGGATGAGGACTTAGACTTGCTGACAATGTCAGCAATGTCCTCAGCAGAGGGGAGAGAGAAGACAGAGAAGGGGAGGGAGGGAGGAGTTCAACATAGATGCTGGGGGCGGTATTAGGTCCAAGGTGTTTATGAATTGAAAGAATCTTTTCATTGAAATAAGACATCAGAGAGTTGCAAATTCTGTGGAAACCATGTGAGAGAGTAATGAGTTAGGAGATGAGACTGAACGGTAATTATACCAATGACTATAATAAATTGGACATTTTATTCAGTGGCATAAACTTCACAAGATAAACATATAGGCATTTTAGGCTTATAATGGTATATGGCTCAAAAATGTGAAACATAAAGGTTACTACAACTGGAGAGACCTTGTAGTGTGCACATTATCAAAATATCTGAATGCATTGTGGGTATTTTTTAGCTTATCTGTGGTTACAATTAAACTATAACAACACAAGAAGCAGTGCTGACATGCAAATGCAAAAAATAATTAATATACAAAATACTGAGAACTTGACATACATGTTTACTGACAGCTACGAAGTGATTCTATAGTCACGTTCTGATGCTGTGCTCATTCTTGGATTTCAGCTGTTGTCTTCATGAGAGCATAGCACAGATTTTAGGGAACCACAGTGAAGTAGGGTTACCTAGTTAGAAGGCATGTAGGCACTCTGAAGTTTTGCCCAACAAGTGATCAGCATTTTAATAACTTTAATGAGCCTAAGCCTCCTTCTCTTCTTTCCTCGTATCTGTCGAACAGCTGAACAAGAACCGCCCTTTGTCTAAAAAAAGAACACAACAAGACCATTATTTTTTTATTTTATTATTTCTAAATGTGTGATTGTAGACAATTTAAACAGTGAGTTTTTTTTTCTTCCCATACCATATATTTAGGATTGCAGTTTTGAATGATGAGCTGCTCCATGCTCTCCGCTGGCTTTTCCAGGTCAGACAGCTGCTTGCCGCTCCTCTGACACCGTATCTGCTGCGCCAAACCATAGATGGAGGCCAGGATGCGATGTGCCTGTCAGGACACAGAAGAGCCAAAACTGAGGAAAGTAACTGCCCCATTGGGCTGAGTACGTTTGGGTCAAGTTGCAGAGTTTTCTTAAGGACATGTTCATCAGAACTTAAACATGAGATCTTGTAACTAAATGGTTACATTTTGATACGCGACTCAGTTACTCTGTCCATGGTGCTGAAAGCACCTGAGAGAGCTCAGAGTGGCAAAAACAACAACAACAACAACAACAAGACACAAGAAAAATGACAATATCACAGCATCTCACAAAAAATAACTGTGAAGAAATCCACAAGAGTACCACAAAAACAAACAAAATACAGTCAATAAACAATGTATTAAAAAATGAAATAAAGATGAAAGTAAATTAAACAAGTAGATCAGTTTATAAATTAAAGTTTTTAAATTTTAGGGTTCCATTACACAACAGCGTTCCACCTTTTGTGTTTTCTGTGCAGATGAACGGAGCGTGCGTTTCTGCTGATTTTTATTTGTTGTTTTTCATAATTCATTGCTATTTTGTTTCTAAATGAAGCCAATTTCTGTTATTTTTTTATTATGCTAAAGAGTTAAACTGTCTTTAACTTGCGTTTATTTTTTTATAAACGTTGTTTATTTAGAAATGTTGCAGTTTGGTTGTTTTGAAATGCATGTTTTGTGAAATTAAATTTTCCGTTTTGTTTCTTCTAAGATGTCATGTTTTATATCTTGGGACTTTTGTCTGTTGTGGGGAAAAAAACAAAAAACTTACCTTTCCTGAGGGACAAGGGTCTCTCTCTTTTATTGCATTAACAGATTCAGTCAAATTCTGCAAGAAAAATAACAAATAAACAAACGAGAGGAGAAAAGGCACTCCTGCAGCACAAACACTGGAGGGCAGCCTCCACCATCCAATGATAAAACCTTCAACTTCAACAAGGTTGCACAACATAAAAACAATCACTTCATTTAAAGAAAGAAAGAAAGAAACCCGTCTATAGGAGTCGTGTGTGCATGTTTGCTGTCACACCAGGTTGCGCAGCTCAATGAAGACCACCTCTCTGTAGGAGCCCAGGATTTCTCTGTAGTCACACTTGGGTTTAGCGCAGCAGCTGGCCAGCAGAACCACCAGGACACTTCGGAGCAGAGATCCGGTCAGACACTGCAGGAGGACACAACCAGACACAGAGGGGTGTGAAAGTGGAGACTCGGGCTGACCATGAGGAAGATACAGCGAACAGAGGCGTTTGTTTCTTCTCTCAGCGCACCCGACTCACCATTTATCATGTTCTTCAGCAGATCTTCACACGAGCAAACCCATCCCTGTCGGTGCCTGGCAGAT